ATGTCCACCTGGGAAGATCACCTGGCTGCATCCTCTCAGCCCTCTCCCACTCAGAAATCTGAAAAGCCTTGGGGCTGCTGCTGCATCCCTGCCTGCCCCTGCCTGCCCTGCTCCACCTCTGCCCTGCCCCCCCTGCACCCCCCCTGCCTGCCCCCCCCACCCCTCTGCCCTGCCCACCCTGCCCCACCCCTGCCTGCCCTTGCCCGCCTGTTACACCCCTGATGCCCCTGCCTACCCTGCCACATCTCTGCTCCACTTGTCTCCCTCAAGCTCCCAGCAAGCCATGTGGGGTGGGCCTCTGTCTCGTGGACAGATGGGCAGATTGTGCTGCTGAGAAGGTCAGGGACGCGTACCCCTCCAAACCTGGCACAGCTGCCCACATTCTCCCTCCCCTCCTCCCCATATTTCCCCCCCTCCCCCCCCACACACTTGCCTAAACACCCAGGCTCTTGGCTCACCTTGCTCACACCCTTTCTCTGGTGTGGGCATGCCCTGCGTACCTGCCACTGGAGGCTCTGCCTGAGGACCAGACAAGAATGGCTCCAGCCTGTCCCCATGGTCCTGGAACCAGACAAGAATACCTCCAACCTGTCCCCATGGTCCAGGCCAGGAGGGCGGATGTTGGGACAGGGGACGTGGCCACCACAGGGCATATGGCCACCGTGGGAGTCTGGGTGTGACTGGGCTGCTTCCCCCAGGTGAGCACGACCTCAGCGAGGTGGACGGCACGGAGCAGGTACGGTGGGTGGCACAGCTCATCATTCCCAGCAAGTACATCGTCGGCAAGACGGACCATGACATTGCACTGCTGCGCCTGCACAGGCCCGTGGTCCTCAGCGACTACGTGGTTCCCCTCTGCCTGCCCAAGCGGGCCTTCTCCGAGGGCACGCTGGCCAGCATCCGCTTCTCATGGGTCAGCGGCTGGGGCCAGCTGCTGGACCGCGGGGCCACCACCCTGGAGCTCATGGCCGTGGACGTGCCCCGCATGCTAACCCAGGACTGCCTGGAGCAGTCGCGGCAGACGCCCGAGAGCCCGGTGCTCACCGAGAACATGTTCTGTGCCGGCTACCTGGACGGCAGCAAGGATTCCTGCAAGGGTGACAGCGGCGGCCCGCACGCCACGCTCTACCGTGGCACATGGTACCTGACAGGCGTGGTCAGCTGGGGTGAGGGCTGCGCTGCTGTGGGCCACGTCGGCGTGTACACCAGGGTCTCCCGGTACACAGAGTGGCTGACCAAGCACATGAGCTCCAGGCCCCGGCTGGGCATCATGCGAGCCCCGCTGGATTAGCTCCCTGCACAGAGAGGGGGCAGACACAGCTGCCTGGAGGGGCCTTGGGGGGGGGAGCTGGAGAAAGGAGAGAGGCAGAGAGAGGGCAGGAACTCTGCTTCAGAGACCAAGAAGACATGGCTGCACGTGTGGGAGAGGAGACAACCACGGGCAGGAAGAGCGCCCGGCTGGCAACGCTGCCGGGGTGGCTCCCCACAGCCCATCCTGCCTGTGGGTGTCCTGATTGCCCTATGGGGAACAGTGGGGATGTGCACACACATGTGTACACATACACACACACGTACACACACGCATACTTTCTCTGAAGGCTGTTCCGTGCTTCCATTGCTTCCCCTTCTGTGCAAGTGCGGCACTCTCACTTCAAAATAAAGGACAGGCAACACATGCATGCGTTGGTGACACCCCTTTGGGTTTCCTGCAGGAGGATGCTTACAGTGCCAGCCGCCCGTGGTCTTCGGGCTGTGCCGCCGTTCTTCTGACTGGACGATGATGAGCAGTGAGGCTCCATGGCTCTGCGTGGCTTGTGGCACTGGCCGGGATGGGGAGCTGCATGGCAGAGGCTCTGTGGCTCCATGTGGCCTGTGTGGTGATTGTTGGGATTGGGGAGCTGTGTGGAAAAGGCTCTGTGTGGCCTGCATGGTGCTGGCCAGGATGGGGGAGCTGTGTGGCAGAGGCTGCGTGGCTCTGTGTGGCCTGTGTGGCATGAGCCAGGATCGGGAGCCGTGTGACAGGAGGCTCCATGGCTCCACGTGGCCCATGTGGCGCTGGCTGTGATGGGGGCCGCGTGGCAGAGGCTCCATGGCTCTATGTGGCCATGGCGCTGGTGCTCACTGAGCCCTGCTGTCAGTTTCATCATCACTGAAGCAAGCATCCAGGTGGGGGCATCCTTTAAGAACAGAAGTTCCTGCCGGTGTTGAGATGGCCCCAGACCCCATGGAGTGGTCTCCCCCTGCCCTCGAGACGTCTGAGGACACAGGGCACACGTGCCCAGGAACCACCACGGCTGCATCACAGAACACAGACCCCCATGTCCCGGCCCGGCTGACAGCACAGGTGGGGAAGGCCCCTCCCCAGCACCACCACACCGTAGCCAGCAGAGGCGAGTGAGGGAGAAGGTGAAACAGAGCCCGAGTGCTGACCCACTGGTGCTGCCGGTATGTGGGCAAGTGAGCTAGAAGCAGACCCAGCCCCACCCTCGTCAGCCCTCACAGGGCTGCAGGGTGTCCCCGAGTCAGGGCACCCACACCAGGAAGCAGTCTCGAGACTGGCCTTGCATCTAGCGACATTCACTTCAGAGCAGCCCAGAGGCCAGCAAATCATGGCCATGTGTTTGTAAACAAAGATTTCTTTGTGCACACCCATTTCTTTGTTTAGCCTCTGTGAGTGGTCCAGACAGGGACCAGCCAGCCACCAAGCCTATCTGGCCCACACAGCAAGGGCAGGAAGGGTTTCCCAGCTCAGCCAGACCAATTCCCAGCCATCTTCCAAGCCCATGCCAGACTCCAGAGCCCTGTCCATCTTCACTCTGTGCCTTGGTTTCCCCATGTGGAACAGGCACTGGCTTCCGTGTGTTGCGGGGACAGGATCCGTGCTGGTGTCCTGAGGACCTGCAAGAGTGTGGTCAGCGCCCATGCCCCTCGCCGTCCCCCTCTGGAGTGAAGCAGAGCCAGGTGCATGCTCCCTGGAAGCAGCGTTAGCATCATAGAGGGAAACTGACAGGAGAAGATGGGCAGGGGGTAGAGGGGGCTGGCAGTGCCCCAAACCATGCAAGAAGGAAATGGAGGCAGCAGGAACCCCAGGGTAGGACTTGCCAGCCTCAGTTTCCCAACTTGCAGGGGTAATAGCCGATGCTCAGAGCTGGCCAAAGAGGTGCATCTGTAAGAGGCCCCGATACCATGCCTGAGTCATGCCCAGGCATGCTGTGCTGGTTGTGAAGTGGGTTCCCCTCTCTGGGTAAGGCCAGGAGAGGGTGAGGACTGATATTCCAGAATGAAATCACTGTTCATCCTTGGTCCCTGACCTCAAGTCTGCCACAAGCATCTCACCTTTTACCCTCACACAATCGCGCTCTCTGCATGCTATCAATGCCCAGAGATGGTACCAGGAAGGATGGGAGCCGGGTACCAACTACTCAATACCTGCTTTCCTAGGTTCACAGCTGCTGGGTGCATGGCAGTGACCAGCAGTGAGACTCCAGCCCCCTCAGGCCCACACCTGGCCTCAGCCCAGCCAGGATTGTTCACTGAGGTCCTCCTGGCCAACCACACCCTGCCTCTGGGCTATATGCACACACCAAGGCCACACTATCCTCAGTACAATGGCGCCCTGCCTCTGGGCTGTATGCACATACCATGGCCACACTACTGTCAGTAGAACACCACAGGCAGCGCCCGCACCATGCATCGGCTGGCCTTGTCACTAAGGAGAGGACAAAGGCCCAGTGGATGCAGTTTCTGGGAAGGTTGACGTCAGCCATGACGCCCACTGACTAAAAGCTGGGAACCAGACCCCAGTCTCCACTTGGGCTTTGACTCACCAGTGTGGAGTCTCTGAGTTGCTTTTGACATCTTGTCTGGCATGGACCAGAGGTACTCCCAGGATGGCACTGCCAGATTTCCAGACTTGGGGGGGGACTCCCCATGTCTGCATCCTATTCCCAGCACACGCACCCCAATAGCAACCCACAGTCCCATTCTCCATCCAAGCATGGCCCAAGAGTCCCTTTCCCCTCCGCACCTCCTTCCCTCCCCACCCTCCTCCTTCCCTCCTCACACTCCTGCCTTTCCTCCCCACTCTCCTCCTTCCTTCCCACCCCCTTCTTTCTTCCCCACACTCCTGCCTTCCCTCCCCACATCCTTCTTCCTCCCCCACCCTCCTCCTTCTTAACCCAGACCTTACTGAAGGGCAGGACAGCAAGGGACTGTGGTCCCTCCAGGCAGAGTGGGTAGCTGGGGATTTCCAAGCCAGCCTGTTGTCAGAAACGGCCCAGCCAGCCTGCTGAGGGCATGAGTGTTCTGTTCCAGCAGACTGGCACACTGTGTGTCCCCTCTCACCCGGCACCCTGCTGGCCCACCATGCCGTAGCCAGGGCACAGCCACACCCAGGGACACGGCTACCACGCCGTAGCCAGGACTCAGCCTCCACCGAGGACATGGCCACCACGCCGTAGCCAGGACTCAGCCTCCACCGAGGACATGGCCACCACGCCGTAACCAGGGCACAGCCTCACCCAGAGACACGAACACCATGCCGTAGCCAGTGTGGGTCAGTTGGGGGCTAAAAATCTGGGTGCAAACCCCACATCGGTGCTGGTCCAGGCCATGCCTCACTTTTCTCCACACTGCTTTTGTTCTTAGGCAGAAGTGGGGGTGACGTTCCCGCTACAGTTGTAAGGGTGAGCAAAGGCATAAGCAAGGGACAGCAACAGAAAGAGCAGGAAAGGGCATGTCTGGCCTCTCAGAACAGACTGCGCATGCCCACAGCAGGCCAGCTGGGTGCAGCTTCTGACAACAGGCCGGCGGTGGCCTCCCCAGCCACCCACGCTGTCTGGAGTGACCACAGTCCCTGCCCTGCCCTACAGTGAGCATGGGCTCCAATCAGGAGGACAAGATAAGCAGGACAATGGCCATTCGGGGCCCAGGGTGATGACCCTTGCCCCTGACCCTCCCATCACAGCAGGGACAGGTCACTCACTGTGCTTTGCCACACCATGGCGGGCCTGCGCCTCGTCCTGCTCTGCTCCATGCTGGTCAGCCTCCTGGGGCTCTCCAGAAGCCGTGAGTGCCAGGTCCCGGGGCAGGGGGAGGGGTAAGGGCTATGGGGGGAGGTGAGGTGGGCTGTGGGCTAGTGCAGATGGTGTGAGCATGCGTTCAGGGCTGGCTGTCCTGCCCAGGCGCAGTCAGGGCCAGCGGTGGGCCCTGTGTGGGGCAGCCAGATGGACAGAACAGGGCACAATAAGAGAAAGGGAGAGAGGAGAGGGAGGATGGAACAGACAGAGCATGAGCAAGGGACAGAGGGACGGGGAGAAAGCCTGGGACCGTGACAAGAACGTGGAGGTGGAGAGGAGATGGTATGGACGGCAGAGACAGGCGCTGCAGGCTTGGCAGACACCTGTGGGCAGCTACATGGAGCAAGGCCAGACAGACGGGCATGGGGCTGTCCACTGGGGCAGGCAGGGACGACTGTCTACATGGACAGACAGACGGGGCAAGTCAAGACAGATAGACGGGCATCAGAACCAGCCATCAGGCTGTCTGTATAATCACCAACAAGACCAGAGTCCCAGAAGTATCCATGATTAGAAAACAAAGGAACAACTAAACAAGATGCACAGTGTACACTGGGTCACTAGAGACTGAATGAGGGCTGGAGTCTCATTAATGTCTTAGGCAAGTGTTCCACACACTTAGCAAGTCTTCTTTTCTCTGCGATCTGAGCTGTGGCTACCGGCCGTGCTGGATCTGTGACTGGCTGAGGATTGACTGACTCAGGAGCAGGGCCATTCATAGAGCCTGCATTTGGGTCAGAGGTGGAGCCCAGAGGCCAGGTGGGATGTCCAGCCCTTCCCCCTTCATTCATCCAACAAGTGTTTATTTAGTGAGCACCGCTTTGCCTGGCCTAGGAGCTAGGTCTGTAGGACAACCAGAGCCCCTGGGTTCCATGTTGACACCAAATGCAGGGCAAGGGAGGGGCTTCCTCTGGCCTCCCAGTTCCCATGGGAATCACAGGTGGTTGAGATCCACACCTGAAAACTACTTCCAGGTGTCCTTCCGCGAGAACAGCCTGGCACATGAGGTTTTAGCAAGGGTTTGTTTTATTGCAACAAAATAAGGGAGGGAAAAATTCTGGGGGTGCTGGAAGGCATTTCCTGATTCCCACATGGAAGTGTTGCTTCTATCTGTGGTCTCCTATCCATGTTCTCTGATCTGTGGTCTCCAATCTGTGGTCTCCTATCCGTGGTCCCCATACTTTTCTGAGCTGGGAAATTCATGTGGCCGTGTCGTGTGCCCCCCTCTCATCAGACAAGGGACTCTGGGTGGCTGCTGTGGGTGCTGCCCACTGTCCTAAGACATGGGGGTGTGGCCTAGGTGTACAGTGGCACAGGAAGCCGCAAGAGCTCCCCATTAGCAGGAGCGCTTGCTGTGTATCATCTTGGGGGAGATGGCAGGAGTGGGGGCACCCTCACTACTCAGCACTGAAAGGGGGCGGCAGGAAGGACACCCTGGGTGCTTGTGTTCTTGTTTAGTGTTTGCTTCCTGGTCCAACCCTTTCAATACTCATTAGAATTAATTACTTAAATTAATAAAATGAATCTCCCCATCTCCCGGGCTATCCTACATCAGTATAACAGTGAAGTGAGGAGGCCCAGGGGGAGGCCAGCCCTATCCAGACACTCACCATCTCCTGCCCCGTCTTCTAGTGTTCATTAACCGGGAATGGGCCAACAATGTCCTGATGAGGACTCGCAGGGCATACTCCCTTTTTGAAGAGCTGAAGAAAGGCAACCTGGAGAGGGAATGTGTGGAGGAGAGATGCTCCTACGAGGAGGCCCGGGAGGTCTTCGAGGACACAGACAAGACGGTAAGGCAATGCCGGGACCAGTGTGGCCACCACCTGTGGACCTGTGCGGCGTGTTGGGGTGTTCATTCCGGGCTCCCCAACAGCTGGATTCACGCGCAGGAAACAGGGTGGTGGGAGAGGTGAGCCAAATCACTGGAGGAAGATGGGAACTCTGTAAGTAGGGCCGAATCCACTTAAGGACAAACATTTATTAAAACAACTCAGGACTTGGTCAATGCTCCCTGGCAGCCCACACTTGGACACTCCAGTGGGCACACCAGGCCAGTGTGAGGGACAGGCAGGAGACAGAACACGTGGATGCCTGATGACCGTGGCCTGCAGGAGGGCCTGATGGGGCTGGGCCTTACACCTAGCTCATCCTCCCTCTCCAGAGGAAGCACAGCCTCTAGAGCCAACCAGAAATGCAGATAGGCCTGACTCTCCTCACCTTTGGCCTGGGAAGCCTACAGGCACTCAGCTGAGGCAGAAGTGGTAAAAATGAGCTAGGAAGGCAGCATAATCAGGCTCTGCACACGTAACTGAACTACGACTGAGATGGAAATGATGCAGTCCCCAGTCACCTACCCAAGGCTGGGGGGGAGGCTCACCCTGCCCAGCTTCTGTGGACACACCCCTTTCTGGTTTGCTCCAAAAATGCAGTCGCCTGCATCCTGAAACTACTTGCTCAAGATTGTCTGGAAAGCCGGTGACCATGTGGCCATCAAAACTGTGTTAGATGCTTTGGAGTAGTGGACCAGGGACCAGAGGAGACCACGTAAAGGGTTTTGCCAAAGTCACAGGCTGAGGTGCTGAGGTGTAGGGGTGGGAGGGGCTGTGGTGAGGAGAGCTGTTCATCTCATGGCAGATAGGAAGGAGGGCACACAGGAAGGAGGAAGGGATACACACTCCCAAAGCAGACAGGAAGGAGGGGCACACAGGAAGTGGTCAGGGATACACACCCCCAAGGTAGACAGGAAGGAAGGGTACACAGGAAGTGGGCAGGGATACATACCCCCAAAGCACACCGGAAGGAGGGGCATACAGGAAAGGGGTAGGAACATGGGTTCTCCCAGCTGAGTCCTGTCTCCTAAGGTTTCTAGGACCTGCAGAATCAGTTCCACCAGCTGGGTGGGACCAGGCAGGGGCCAGGCAGCAGTACGGAGCACATGAAGGCGTTCTGTCACCAGAGACATTCTACACGGGGTAGTGTGTTCCAAGTGCTAGTCAGTTCTTGGGCCCCATTGCAAGTGGGTGCTGGTCTCGGTGCAGAAGAAAACACCCACAAAGAGTAGGAAAATGGTAAAGAGTGATTTATGGGAAAGCAAAAGTATGCCTCAAGGCCATAGACAGGCACTGAATAAGAGCCACATACAGTGGAGCTGTTGGGGATGGGCTTTGTCCAGTAGTGGGGAGTTCCTGAAGAGACCCCTCGGCTTGTGGCCCTTCTCACATGGGGTGGCCCCCCGGGCAGTGGCTGCTGGGTGTGGGAGGGCATAGCCTGTCCATCTGCTCTGCCCTGCCTGTCTGATCCTCTGCCTTCCAGTTCAACCTTGGCATGAGCCAGAAAGTGGTCCAAGGGAGGTGTCGGGTCACTATCTGAATCCCTGGGTCCAAGGGGGTCAGGTTGCCAGACAGGACCAGCTCATGGAATCATAAACGAGAGAAATGGTTTGGATCAAGCAGCAGGCTGTCCCTGTGGGTGCAGTCTGCCCCCTGGAAAAGGCTGGGGAGCACTGGGAATCAAGCAGAGCCTTGCTCTCTGTTGTTCCATCCTCACTAGAGCCTCAAGGATGTTAAAATGCCACAGTCATTGAAACTACTGGACTTCATTGAAAAACCTTTTCAAGGGAAGACCTGTAAAAGACATGTATCATCCACAGCAAGACCCCATCTATAAGATATTTCTTGGATGGACTGCGATTGAGAGACACTGAATACCATGTTAGACATTGTCCCAGCCTCTGACCACCTGTAAGCAAAACCTGGACAGGTACTAAAGCAGGAGGGCTGTTCCAGGATTTTACTGAAAGATACTGGTGTTCATGACACCAACAGGGCTTAAGAAATCAGATGCCAGTTCTGGAGTGAGGGAATTGATTGGAGTCACCACCCCAGCTTCACAGCGGTGAGTTCTACACAGCCCAGTTACTATGGTCCCATGGAAGCCAGGGAAGGACTAGGTCAGGGGTGGCGAATCAAGGAACAGCCTCCAGAAGGCAGACCTGGGAGGCGACGCCCCCAGCGTTTGTGGAGGATTCAATGTGGTAGAAGAACTTGAGAACACCTGGAAATGATGCCAGAAATCTACCTTCCAGGAGCCTTGTGGTACAAGGTTTGAAGCTCTCCTGCTTCCTGGCTACTCCGCAGCTTCACCGCATCCTGCAAGTGACTCACCAGAGCCCTTTGTGGGACTTGCCACAGCCTCAGAGCTAGGGGGACGCTCTGCGGGGATCTCAGAGCCATATTGGGCAGACTCTGCACCGAGTCTCACAGCACTAGGAGCAATTATCATGAAGAAGGAAGCACATGGTTGACCTGAACACAGGCACTTTCCAAAAAACAAGGCACAGGTGATGCTGGTGCTGACATCACAGAGGAAAATGCTACCCCCTCCCCACCTGATGTCACCTGCCCATCCAAGGCCAACTGGAGCACAGCCTCAACCAGGCCTGTGCACTTCAAGAGGTCCTGACACAGAGGAAGGCGCTCTGCTTCCTCCATGTGGAAAGCCAGAGGGAAGCAGGAGTCTGTTACACAGACACGGCACCTTGTTCTACAAGGCGATGAGTGATCACATCACGTGACCTGGTTATCATTGCATTTCTGCAGAAGATCACGGTTTGCAAGGGGATCCATCTGCCCAGTGCAGCTCACTGCAGGCACCCAAGGAAAGAAAGGAAAAAGAATTATTTTTACTATATTGCCAAATGAATGATTTATATGGAATAAGAAAATCCACAACTTCAGGAATGACTTTCATTTTAAGTATTTGTGTATTACCAGTGTGCGCACATAGCATGCTTCAGGTAACATGTGCTCAGCACATGCAAAGCCCTGGCTCTGAGCCCTAGCACTGCCAAAAGAAGAAAAAGTAGGGCTGGGAAGGTGGCTCAGTGGTAGAGCGCTTGCCTTGCATGCATGAGGCCCTGGGTTCAATTCCTAAGCACACATAAGCAGAAAAAAAAAAGCCGCAAGTGGCGCTGTGGCTCAAGTGGTAGAGCCTTGAGGTGAAGAGCTGAGAGACAGCACTCAGGCCCAGAATTCAGGCCCATGACCAGACCCCCCCCCAAAAAAAAGAAAAAAAATTGACCAACTGGAGTTTGCAAAAACTAAAACTTCTGACCTTTGAAACGAAAAACTGTCAAAAGAGTGAAAATGTAAATTACATACTAAGAAAGTATGTTTCATTCACATATCAAAAAGGATTCAGAATAAAGAAAATTTACACCTCCAAAGAAGAGTATAAACACCAAGCTAATTCAGAGAGCGAGGGCCTCTGGTGGATGCCTGTTAGTAAGAAGTGACAAGCAGCCCCTTGAGAACAGAGCCAGCAACCTGAGCGATCAGAGACGGAAAGAGCAGCATGAGGGTTTGGGGGAATGTGGCTTCCAGGACAGGAAGGCAGGGGTGAGCTTCCCACTCCGAGTTTCTTATACAACTATAAAGATATCACCTGACTCCCATCTCTTTCCTGAGCATTTCCCGACGTGGGGGAGGGGGGGTAAAGAGGAGAGGGGAGAGTTGTGCCACTGGGTGGGTCTGTGCTGTATCCTGAGGGCAAGTGGGGGGTGCTGGGCGGGGCCTTGCTGTATCTGAAGCGGTAGGAGGGCAGGTGGTAGGAGTGCGGTGGGGAAGGGCTAGGCAGAGCCTGTGCTGTACCCCATGTGGTGGTGTTTTCCTCACTCAACAGTTGCATTGAAATCCGTAGACTTGTACGCCAAAGAATGGCTTTACTCCATGATAATTCTTGAGCTGAAAACAAATTAAAGCCTGTCCATTTATCTCTAAGGCTCCCATAACAAAGTACCAAGAGCTGGGTGCTTCATACCACAGGGATTGATCCTGCCAATTTTGGAGAAAACAAACTTAGAATCAAGGCATTGGCAGTATGGGATTCTGCTGAAGGGGTCCCTCGGCCGTGGTCCTCTAGATGCACGCCTCCCTTCCCTGCCTCCCTTCCATCAGGTGGCCTTCCTCTCCCAGGTGCCTCAGGTCCCACTTTCCATCTCTTGGAAGAACACTCTCATTAATTTAGGGCCTACAATAATCCAGCAGAATCTCATCTGGTACCTTCCCTTAATTATATCCACACAGGTCCTGAGTTTCCAGTCCCAAGCCCTATTTCTAAGGTCACATTCTGAATTTACAGATAGATCCGGAAGGACCAACTATAGGCCATAAAAGAAAAAAGGGATGAATATTTTTCATGTAGTATAGACTGTTGATGGCCTGTTTTAAGCTAATTGCAATAGGTGTCTTTCTAATTGGCAAGCATGTGACCCTTTTCTTAATTTTAAGACCAGGTATGGTCACTAAAAACCACTCACCAATCAGCAGGGTGTCCAACAAAGATGGTGCAGCTCAAAGATGGTGTGCACCGAAGCCACGAGGGCACAGCCACAGATCCCACAGCTGTCCCGTCCATTCTCCATCCAGGCACGACAGGGCGGCTGCAGGGTGGGAAAAGCTCTGTTTCCCTCATTAATTCTTAACTATTCTTTCTTTTAGAATGAATTCTGGAACAAATATATAGGTGAGATACTTTCTATTTTTATCTTAAGTGAAGGGGGTTTATTGGACAATTTAAATTAGGATAAATTTGATTCTTAAACACTCCTTGAATTTCCTTCCTGCTCCTATTTACATCTTGCTCATTTCACGTGTGTCCCTTCTGGGCATGTCCATCGTTGTTAAATAGTTTTCTAGTCATTTTATCTTTTTTTTTGGTCAGTTGTGGGGCTTGAACTCTGGGCCTGGGCGTTTTCTCTGTGCTCTTCAGCTCGAGGCGAGCGCTCTACCACTTGAGCCACAGCACCACTTCCAGTTTTCTAGTGGCTTATTGGAGATAAGAGTCTCAAGAAGTTTCCTGCCTAGGCTGGCTTTGAACCCTGATAATCAGATCTCAGCCTCCTGAGTAGCTAGGATTACAGGCATGAGCCATCAGCACTCGGCTCATTTTATCTTAATTCTAGTTTTGTTACTTTCTCAAAGATTGTTTTTCATTTTAAAGATAGGGTCTCACTGTGTTGTTCAGAATCTCCCCCATCCCGTGCTCTGATGGTCCACTGGCCTTGGACACCAGAGGGGAGCACCAGGTCAGCTTAGACAGAAATCTAAGTCAGATCCTTCCCGTCCGAGAATGCCAGGCACTGTGGCCATTTTGATGTAACTGTATGACACAGAAGCAAAACCTGAGTCTGAAACTTGGGCAGGCGAGGTCATGCCCCAGTGTCCTGTGCAAGGGACAGCACTGAGACTTATTGACGTGCGCCTTGGTGCTCTGAGCAATGTGATCCACATAGTCTGGAAGATGTGGAGCCCTAGTAAGGCCTGAGTGACATCTTTGGACTCTCAGTACACCCTGAGTCCTTGACAACAGGAGCCCTAACACCTCCACCAACCCCTGGCCCAGAAACAAGTGTCATGCTCCACCCGTCCCCCCTACCTGGAGGCCCCTGTGGCCCCTCTGGCCCCCCTCCGATGCCATGCACACTAAAGCATCTCAGGATCCTGGCAGTCCAGGGTGTCACATGCAGCTTCCGTGGGCTGGGAGAGCTGAGTCCAGGCAGCATCTGCTCCCACAGGATGGGAAGCAGCTCAGCTGCAGAGGAGGCAGAGAGGCAGAAGCCAAGGCAGCGCCTCCCTTCTGGGAAGAAGGGGGGGACTGCCTTCTGACTCGGTTTCCAACCCTTGTTGCAGATGGCGACCAGTGTGACAGCAGTCCTTGCCAGAACCGGGGCTCCTGTCGAGACGGTGTGGGGGAATACACGTGTACCTGCGAGGAAGGCTACGAGGGCAAAAACTGCGAGTTCTGTGAGTCCTTCTGCGGGTGGACACAGCCATGGGGGGACACAGCCAAGGGGACACAGGACACAGCCAGAGGGGTCACAGCCATGGGGGATACAGCCATAGGGGACACAGCTATGGGGGACAGAGCCACAGGGGGACACAGCCACGGGGGGACACAGCCACAGGGGGACACAGCCATGGGGGGACACAGCCAAGGGGACACAGGACACAGCCAGAGAGGACACAGCCATGGGGGGATACAGCCATAGGGGACACAGCTATGGGGGACAGAACCACAGGGGGACACAGCCACGGGGAACACAGCCACGGGGGGCAGAGCTACAGGAGGACACAGTCACAGGAGACACAGCCATGGGGGGAAGGGACAAGAAAGCAGCCCTGAAATCCCTTGTGAGACAACTGTAGTGTTTCTTTTTCTTTTCTTTTTTTTTTTTTTGGTCGGTCGTGGGGCTTGAACTCTGGGCCTGGGCGCTATCCCTCAGCTCTTCAGCTCAAGGCAAGCCCTCTACCGCTTGAGCCACAGTGCCACTTCTGGTTTTCTAGTGGTTTATTGAAGACAAGAGCCTCACGGACTTTCATTGACCGGGCTGGCTTTGAACTGTGATCCTCAGATCTCAGCTTCCTGAGTAGCTAGGATTACAGGCATGAGCCACCGGTGCCTTGCTGTGTTTCTAACAGATCTTCTGCCCACACACCAGCCCAGCATCTCTGGTCTAGGTGGGTGTGACCTGAGCACAGAGGGCTCGGCTTCTCTGTGGCACAGATCCCAGCATCCTGGTGATGTGGCATGTATGTGCATGTGCACGTTCACATGTGTGCATGTGAACCCTGTTTCCCACAGTTGCTACATGCTCCTCATAGCTGGTCCTAAGGCTCTAAATCAGCCTCTCTTGTTTATATTTGTCCATGCAAGCATTACTGAGGAATATTCAAAACAATGCAGTTAAAGCTTTCTGATATAGTTAATTGTACCTTGGGAAATCAGCGTCGTCTCTAATCTGGTGGTCTACTGGCTCTCGATGGGGTGTGTGCTCAGGCCTCATGCTTTGGTGTGTGCACTCCACTCCTCAAACCCCAGCCCTTTGTGCTTCAGCTACTTTTCAGGTCTTGCTTTTTTCCTGGGGACAGTTGTCCGACCTCTGCTTCCCGCGTGGTTGGATTGTAATTGTGCCATTGGGCTTCACTTGGTTTTTGAAAGAGTCTCACTAACTTCCTTCCCTGGATGGCCTAGAAGTCCTGCCTCCCCAGTAGTTGTGATTACAGGTGTAAACAAACAGACCTGGCCCTGATGATGAATGCTTTTTAAATAATAAAATAGGTTACTGGAACCCACTGCCTTGGCAGTTCTAACATGGAAGGCTAACCTAAGTCAGTTGTCGATGCAGGAGAGGAATTTTGTTACAAAGATGCGCGTGCGCGCATGCACGCACGCACACACACACACACACACACACTACTCCCAGGCCAGTCGTCCCTAAAATGAAGGCTTTGCAGTCCTTTCTGCTGCCTCCTAACTTTCCTCCCTTCTAAGACCTCCTGACCTGTGGAAGGTTCTGGTTAATTGGGTGATAGATAGCAACACCTGCTAATGCAGAGGCACATAGAGCAGAACACGGGGTGGAGATGGGTGCTGGTTAAAACTCCATGAGGGCTGATCTTTGTACTGTAGTTAGTTCCCAGGCAGATGAGAGCGGAGCCCTGCTCAGCATGGCCGTAGATAGGTGTGATCACAAGGGGAGTGGGAGGGGGCCAGGCCTGCGCTGGAGACCCTGGGGTCCTGCACTTGTTGCTGCCACCACACACCCAGCTGGAGACACAGGCTAGCCTGTGGGTGGTCACCAGGGGGGCAGCACTCATGTGGGCTTGGCACCCAGGCCTCATGTGGCCTGTGTTGATCTCCCTAAGTGTGGACACCGTGACTGCCGGGCTGGGCCTCCTCCGGTCTCACGGCCAGGCCGGGCCTCCTATAGTCTCATGGCGGGGCTGCTCTTGCACCTGCATGCTCATGTCTGCCTGGGCTGGCTCCTGTGCGGACAGTGGGTGGCCATGCGGCGCCCACCCACTGTGGCTTGTGCCCTGCCTTGCAGTCACGAGGAAGCTCTGCAGCCTGGACAATGGGGACTGCGAACAGTTCTGCCAAGAGTCCCAGAACTCGGTGGTGTGCTCCTGTGCCCAGGGGTACGTCCTGGGGGACAACGGCAAGGCCTGCATCTCCACAGGTGGGGGTGGGGCAGAGGTGGGGCTGGGGCAGGGGTGGGGGTGGGGCACAGAGGTGGGGGTGGGGCACAGAGGATGGAGTTGGGGGCACAGAGATGAGGCAGGGCACAGTGGCACCCTCATCTGCCTCTCAATGTGCTTGGCTGGTCCCTGACCCCCACCCAGAATGTGCCCAGGGCAGCTAGAAATGCAGTCTCAGGCCCACATCTCAGAGAGCCTGGACTTCTGAGCAAACTGTCAGGCTCCAGTTGGGGCCCTCAGCTGAGCACAGTCTGCCCTGTGGCCTGAGGGGTGCACCACTCTCCCTCTCATATTCTTCTCCTTGGCGACAATTTATTTGCAAATCCTAATAGTGCGTACCTGTAACCCTAGCCTTTTGGATACTGAAGCAGGAGGATCATGTGTTCAAGGCCAGCCTGGGCTACATAGTAAGATCTGGTCTCATAAAACAAGCAAGACACATTTGTTCTAAAAGATAACTGATCAGAAAACAATGGCTCTGTTAACACCCTTCAAGGACGGCTTCAATTATGCAACGCTGCACAAAGACAATGGAGGTTTTTATGTCCACTTGCAATGAAATGTAAAAAACTCACTCAGATATATTTTAGCCAAAATCATTTCTTAATATCTATGAAATTTATTTTAATTCTAGGAATACTCAACACTCAATTTAAAATAAACTCTAGTGCTTATAAACAAAATAAAGAGCTTGCAGGGTAGCTGAGCGGCAGAGCACTTGGCTGGCCTTCCTCAGGCCCTGGAGAGAAGGAAGAGAAAGAAAGAAAAGGAAGAAAAAAAGAAAAAGGAGAAAAGAGGGAAGAAGAAAGGAGGAAGGGAAGGAAGGAGGAAAACAGTCAGATAAATAGCTTTCCAGTGCAGAAAGCTCTGTTAAGTCATGGACAGTTTAATTCAGGGTTTGGAAACCCAGGGATACAAATATCAGCCACACTAGCGAATTGCCAGCCGCAAGGCCGCAGTCTCGGCAGCCGACTCCCGGGGCACTGAGTGTCCACAGCACGGCCGGCAGCGCTCAGACCTGTGTGGGTGCAGACATCATGGCTGCTGGCAGACAGGAGTGGAGGAGGAGCCCCTGTGCTTGGCCCAGCACTGTGGCCCTCTACTCTCAGGCCCTGCTGGCCCCCTTCTACATCCCCCCCGCTGGCCTCTCACAGACGCGCCGGTCTCCAGGCCCCACTCAGCCCATTCAGGCTGGTGCCACGTGCTGTGTCTGGCTTTGCTGTCCCCTCAGAGCTATACCCCTGTGGGAAAATTACTCTGGGACGCCGAGGCAAGAGGTCAGTGCTCCAGGCCACCAACAACAGTGAGGACTTCTTCAATGTCCTGAACTGGACGGCGCTGTACGACTCGTTCCCCACGGAGGACCCAGCTAACCTGCTTGACCTCAACAACACCAGCCCGGAGAAGGACAGGAGGAACCTGGGCCGGATTGTGGGTGGCCGGGACTGTGAGGCCGGCGAGTGCCCCTGGCAGGTAATGGTCCTGACCCTCATCCGTCTGTGTGGGTCTGCTGGGGGAGCATGGGGGCTGAGTCTTGGGTCTCTTGGCCTGTAGCCTGAGGGAAAGTGCTAGGAGCTCTTGGGGTACAATGGAAGGGACGAGCTCTGGGGCAGCAGGCATGGAGACTCCTCAAATAAGCTCTTGTTCTGTGTGGTCTGGGTGGCTCTGTGGCCCATGCCACCTGCACAGTTTGTAGACATAGTTGCCCGTGCAGGCTCTCCTCATCAATGAAGAGAACGAGGGGTTCTGCGGCGGCACCATCCTGAACCAGTTCCACATCCTGACAGCCGCCCACTGCCTCCACCAGGCCAAGAGGTTCAAGGTGAGGGTAGGTGAGTGTCGCCCGAGCCCAGGGCCCACTGATCCTGGTGCGGCCTGGACCATCAGAACAGGTGGGGTTGGGGGCTGCCTGTCTATGCAGCTGGGGCTAGATGAGGAGACCCCATGCTCCAGAACCCCACGCCCTAGGAGACTCCATGTCCTAGAAGACCCCACTCCCAGGAAACCCCATGCTAGAGGGGTCCAGTGTCCCATGTGCTCAGGGACCATCTGAGGTTGAGTTGGGAAGACCTGAAGGCCAAATGTAATAGGAAGGAGCCCTGGCTGGGAGATCGGGACCAAGTTAGTCCTGCCTCATTTTCTGCTTCCCATTTTTTTCAAGTTTTCAAATGTGATTTCATGACTTTTTTTTTTTTTTTGTCGGTTGTGGGGCTTGAACTCTGGACTTGGATGCTGTCCCTGCACTCCTCAGCTCAAGGCAAGCGCTCTACCAATTGAGCCACAGTGCACTTCCGGTTTTCTAGTGGTTTATTGGAGATAAGAGTCTCTCGGACTTTCCTGCCCGGGCTGGCTTTGAACCTCGATCCTCAGATCTCAGCCTCCTGAGTAGCTAGGATTATAGGCATGAGCCACCGGCACCCAGCATGACTTTTCTTTTCTTTTTTGAGTCAGGTCAGATTGGCCTCAAATTCTTAATCCTCCTATGTCTGACTCTCAAGTGCTGGGTCCCAGAGCTGCTACTGTGCCCAGCTATATTTAGTATTAGGGAGGAAAAAAAAAAAACCCACTTCTTTCAAAGTAGCCAACGTAGCTGTGTGCTAATGGCTCACACCTGTCATCCTCAGAGACTGAGCTCTGAGGATCATGGTTCAAAGCCAGCCTGGGCAGGAAAATCCATGGGACTCTTTTTCTCTAATTAACCACCAAAAAGCTAGAAGTGGAGTTGTGACTCAAGTGGGAGAGTGCCAGCCTTGAGCAAGAAAACACTCAGGACAGCACCCAGGTCCCAGGAACAAAACACACACACACACACACACACACACACACACACACACACACACACACATGTCCAACATCCACATGCTGGTACCAGGATGCTAACCTCTCCCCCGTCTCTGGCCCCAGGGGACCGGAACACGGAGCAGGAGGAGGGGAATGAGGCGGTACACGAGGTGGAGGTGATCGTAAAGCACAACAAGTTTGTGAAGGAGACCTACGACTTCGACATCGCAGTCCTCAGGCTAAAGACGCCCATTGTGTTCCGCATGAACGTGGCCCCCGCCTGCCTGCCCCAGAAAGACTGGGCCGAGGCCACCCTGATGACGCAGAAGTCCGGCATTGTGAGCGGGTTCGGGCGTACGCACGAGAAAGGCCGCCAGTCCACCACGCTGAAGATGCTGGAGGTGCCCTATGTGGACCGCAACACCTGCAAGCTGTCCAGCAGCTTCTCCATCACCCCGAACATGTTCTGCGCTGGTTACGATGCCAAGCTGGAGGACGCCTGCCAGGGGGACAGCGGGGGCCCGCATGTCACCCGGTTTAAGGACACCTACTTCGTGACAGGCATCGTCAGCTGGGGGGAGGGGTGCGCCAGGAAAGGGAAGTATGGGGTATACACCAAGGTCACTGCCTTCCTCAAGTGGATCGACAGGTCCATGAGGGCCAGGGAGCTGCCCATGCCCCAGACCCCATCACCCATGCCCCAGACCCCATCACCCATGCCCCAGACCCCACCACCCATGCCGTCACCTCAGTAAACAGCTGCCCTCACCATGGCTGGAGTCCTTGAGTGTTGCTGTAGGAGCAGGGTGGCATGGAGCCGCAGCTCCCATCCCCAGGCTGCTCTTCCTCGAGACTCTTTCTTGGAAGTGCAGTCCCTACTCCCCCTCCCCGCAGACCCCAGTTTCTGTGGGAGGGAGGCTTGCGCTCACACTAGAGCAGAGCCCAACTGCCTGTCACAGCTTTGTTCCTGTGTGGCCTGAGCTCTGACCCCCCTCCCCACCCTCGCTCAGCCACAGAGCTCAGCCACCCAGAGTAAGCGTCTGGAGTTCTAGGTGCACACACCTAGGGTTCAACACCTGCTGTGGCCGGGGGCCCCAGACCCCACGAATGCTGGTCGAGTGGCAAGTGGGTGCTGGTTGGTGTGACACAGGCATTGTGGTAGGGGTGTTCCTCTGAGTTGACTCTGGGACAGCCTGGTCCCTACCAGGAAGGCCTGCACTCCTAATGGGCGTCATGGAAACAGGAGGCCGCTGTCCCCACGCCACCCCCCCGGATTCACCCTGAGAAGGACTGCGTGGTGTGTGCACAGATCAAGTGCCTGCTCACGGAGCAGGACGGTGACCCCTCACATGTGGATTAGGGATGGGGTAGAGGGAGCTCCAGGTCTCTGGGATGAGGCTGTCCCAGAAGTTTCTGGAATTCCTCCAGTGACTTGCACCTCTGAGTAGGGCCCATGGTACCACCTCTCCCTTCCCTGCCCTGCTGCAACTCAACACTGCATCCATGTCCCAAGTCACACGGTTAGGGAAACAAGCAGATTTTCAGTAAACAGAATTGGCCATCCAGATGGAGCTGCCCTGTGTTTCCCAAAAGTCCCAGTACAGTTTGCATTTTGCGCAACTTTGATAAAGCAAAGGTTAAAAGTTCTAGAACAAAACTTCCCCCAACGTCGGGAGCAGACAGAACCTTTTGTAAACAGGAGGTTTTGTAAGGTTAGGAAAAGTCAATGTGCACAAGCCCTCTGCTTCCTGGAACCTGTCGGGAGTCTCCCCTTGCCTGCCCTGCACAGACCCGGCCAAGCCCAGGCCTTCTGCAAGCCCGCTGTCTGCTGCCTACTTGCTCCCAGCCCAAGTCACCCTGCTCCCAGGAGGGAAGGCTCAGCTTCCCGGCATCTGCCGAACTATCTCTAGGCTGCAGAGTGACTCTCTGGTCCCATCCAGGCCCCAAGGCGAGCCCTGGATTCCTATTCCCAGAGATGACAGCATGTGTGGGCCCTAAGGGAACACTGAGAGGCTCGCAGATCAGCAGCAGCTGGCACGCACTGCAGGACCGTGTGTCACAGGCATGCCACAGAAACGGAGGGCCACGGGGAGCCTGCATTGTGGATGGGTATGGACAGGCCTCTGCGGAGGCCCATCCAGAAAAGAGCCCACCCAGGATGTTCTGGAGGGATGGTGGGAGGCAGGGGGCATCAACAGCAGACATTTAACCTCTCATCTGAGCAGCACATGCTTCAGCAGCAGCATATTGCTGACTAAAGCCACCAGCAACATGCCCAGGGCCTGGTCTATGACCTCTCTCCACCAGTGACTCCGGGGAGGCCTATCTTTGTTCAGAACAACAATCCATTGGAAAGTGAGCACTTAAGGACAGAGTGCAGCAGGAGCAAAGATGGAGAAGAGAGGGGTGTGACATTGCCCCATGAGAGTGATGAGCAGACTTGCATACCACAGTCATCATGCCACAACCAGAACACTGCAACCATAACACCACAGCCAACCACAATATCAGTTGTGATATTGCAGTCATGACACCATAACCACATACCACAGCTATAGAACTACAGCCACAATACCACAGCCAACCACAATATCAGTCGTGATATTGGAATTTTTATGATACCACAACCACAGCACCACCACCATGACACCACAACCGACATGACACCACAACCAACATGATACCACAACCAACATGATACCACAGCCATGAAACTACAGCCACAATACCACAACCAACCACAATATCAGTCATCATATTGAAGTCATGATACCATAACCACAGCACCACCACCATGACACCATAACCAACATGACACCACAACTGACATGATACCACAGTCAGTGCTTTCATAGGGCCGAGCCCTATGCTGCTCAGAGCCAGAAGGGAGATGACCCCTCAGTTCTTGGTCCTGGGGTGCTGAGACATTGCCTCACTCCAGGGGACAGGCAGTTTAGAAGCATGGTGACGGGTATGGAGCCCAAGACTGTGGAGAAGGACACAAATGAACAGGAGAGCTTTGCCGGAAGACAGTGGCTTTCTCCAGTTCCATCGTGGATATGGCCATCTTTGCAGGACTTGGGATGAGTTTCTGTTCTGGAGGGTCCTGCCCCCTAAAGCCACCAGAGTGTCACTAGTTGGCAGGTGTCATCACGACCCTCTCTGCTGACCCAGCCAAGGAAGCAGGGCATGGCCAGGACAGGCAGTGCTGAGTCCTCCTCACCTCTGAGTGCCATTCTAGGGCTCAGAGTCACTCTGTTCTCACAAAGGTGGTCCCTGTTCTTGGGGTGTTCCATCTGTAGGAAGGCCTGGCTGTGTACAGTTCCTGGATGCTCAGAATGCACCTCAACAGGACCAGGGGAGCAGTGTGAGGGGCGTGGTCTCACCAGGAGGGGTGTGGTCTCATTAGGAGGGGTGTGGTCAGTCCAGGAGGGGTGTGGTCTTATTAAGAGGGGCGTGGTCTCACCAGGAGGGGTGTGGTCTCACCAGGAGGGGTGTGGTCTCACCAGGAGGGGCGTGGTCTCTCTAGGATGGGTGTGGTCTCACCAGGAGGGGTATGGTCTCATCAGGAGAGGTGTGGTCTGGGCTGGGGGAGTAGTCTTAGCTACATCTGACAGGACTTTGTGGCTGTCCCTGAAAATGTGAGATCCCTGGGCTCCGTTGACCCCAGGTCAGCACAGGCTGGGACACAAAGCACACAACCAAGCCTCATGTGGGCAGCAGCAGCAACTCCCACAGGAACCAGAGGATTTCATAGATAGCTAGTGGCAGATATGAATGTGCTCAAGGCCACTTTTAGGTTCTGTCAGACCTTGCCAGGGGCCCACACAGAGGAAGAGGCTGGCAGAGGGTGGCAGTGCCCCAGTGTGAGGGAGGGTGCCAGCCCTGGGACGTGTCACCAGACCAGGCCCATCCTCCTTTCTTATGTGTCTCCCCTTATTTCCTGCCTGGTCCTGGGTGGCTGAACCCCAGGGTGGAAGGGCCACCACCAGTCCCCAGGGAGGCCCTAGAAGAGGTGCCTATCCTCAGCAGATCAAGAACAAAAGTGTGGATGAACCAGTGAGAGAAGGATGAACCTGGACCAGCCTGTGCCTGTCTCAGCCAGGAAGGAGGGAAGAAACATCCTCTAGGCATGTACACATCTCCAGGCCTCCAAACAGGGAGAGTGCCTCGGGGGTCCATGTAAATCACAGACTCCAAGAGGACCTCGCCCCACAGGCTATGAGCACACAGCTGCCAGGAAGACACAGGAAGGCCAGGGATGCTGAAATGGGCACATTGTGTAGGGCTGATGACAGAGGGGACCAAGCTGGGACACAGTGAGGTCCCAAGACGCAGACAACCAGGCCACTGGGGGAACAAACCTTGGGCTCTGCGGCCCCCATCTAGCTCTGCCAGTTCAGGGATTGGAACAGCCCAGGAGGGAAGGCCACAGAGAGGACAGCCCAGCATTGGAAGGACGAGGTGCAGCATGGCTCCAGGGTATTCAGAACTCAGGAGTCGAAGCCCCTAGCATGTGACTTGTCTTTTCCCACAAAGGGCTGGGGGATGAGGCTCATGTTGTACTAAGGGATGGGAGGAGGGTGGTGGGCGCCACTTTTGATGTTCTGATGAGAGCTGTTCTGTAGGATTTGTTGACCAGAGGGCCTCTTGGAGGTGGCGGGTGAGAAACCTGCCACAGGAAACCACCGTAGAATCGTTTTACCACTGCTATAATCTGAATGTCCGTGTCCCACTGTTTTTCATATTCTGAAATGTTGACTACACCTCATACCGAGGCCTGGAGCCTCTACCTCTCTTCCTGGGGGGGGGGGGACACCGCCGGGCAGCACTGTCCATGAGCCGCAGCCCCACACCAAACCCTGACCCTGTCGGTGCCTCTCCTTTGATTTCCGGCCCCTACCACTGTGAGCCGGGCGCCTCTGCTGCCTGGAAGGCACCCAGTCTGCAGATGTTTTCCTGGGGCTGCCAGCAGACAGCGGAGCCTGTGAACGACTCTCAGTCAGATGCACCTGGCCCTAGCCTAGTTGCCTATTTTTAAGCAGGTCTTAAAATTATTTAGTGATTTTTTTGGGGGGTCTGGTCGTGGGGCCTGAACTCTGGGCCTGGGCGCTGTCCCTCAGCTCTTCAGCTCAAGGCTAGCGCTCTACCACTTGAGCCACAGCGCCACTTCCGGCTTTTTTCTTTTTGCTTATGTGGTGCTGAGAAATCGAACCCAGGGCCTCAGGCATGCAAGGCAAGCGCTCTACCACTGAGCTATCTTCCCAGCCCTATTTAGTGATTTTTAAAAACTAGTACCTCACACTTGCCTGACTTGTTTACTCAGCTGAGGCTCTATCACGTGAGCCAGGTCTCCCACACAGCTTTTTGCTGGTTGTTTTGGAGATAGCTGGCTTTGGGCTAGCTGGGCTAGCTCTGAACCAGATCTGAGCCTCCCAAATAGCTAGGACTACAAACAGTCTAGCAAAATGTTCTGAAAGTGTAAATTTCCGCATGGAATTGTCTTGAAGAGCACGTTTTTCAAGCCTTTTCATAACAGGTGGCACAAAGATTGTTCTTTTTTTTTAACTAATAAAAAAATTGTACTTACTTAGAAACATTCAGAATGTCCACAAAACAGCTGCAACTTTTTTTTTTGCAATTACAGAGTGGTATTCAGTTAACAGAACAATTCTTTCATATAAGCTGTGTCAGACAACTGAAGATTAAAAACTACCATCCCCATATATAACTAATTTGTACTGTGCACCAACAAGAACCTGCTTTAAATTTCCATGCCAATTTACATCCCTCATACTGTACCAGGCAAGGTTAGTGGCTATTGAAAATACCACCAGGACAGGGCTATCTAAAGATACATTTGGTAGTGTGTTAACTATACAAAAAAAGACACTGTACAGTTTAAAAACAAATCTTACACAGCCTTACATTTCAATTTTTTTCTTTAAAAGGAGTGAGTTGTGTACAGGGGGGTTAAATGCTTTATAGACAGGAAAAAACTGTGCTAGAACCAACTTATTCATCATCATCCTCTTCATCTCCATTCTCATCCTCTTCATCTTCCTCTTCTTCTTCGTCCTATTCATCTTCCTCCTCTTTCTTCTTCTTCTTGCTCTTTTCAGCCTTCACAACTCCTTTTCTTTGCTGCATCAGGCTTTCCTTTAGCTCGGTAGGCAGCAATATCCTTTTCATAGTTTTCCTTCCACTTCGAGGCTTCTTTTCATGAGGCTGCTTGTCATCTGCAGCAGTGTTGTTCCACTTCTCTCCCAGTTTTTTTGCAACATCACCAATAGACAGGACAGGATGTTCCCCTTTGATTTTAGGGCGATATTCAGAACAGAACAAGAAGGCCGAAGGAGGCCTTTTGGGTGCATTGGGATCCTTGAACTTCTTTTTTGTTTCCCCTTTAGGAGGGATGTAGGTTTTCAGTTCTTTTTCATAACGGGCCTTGTCTGTCTTCAAATTTCCCTTTCTCTTTAGCAGACATAGTCTTCCACCTCTCTGAACACTTCTTAGAAAAGTCTGAGAAGGGGCAGGGAAGGTGGCTCAGTGGTAGAGCTCTTGCCTTGCATGCCTGAGGCCCTGGGTTCAATTCCTCAGCATCACAGAAGCAAAAAGAAAAAAGCCGGAAGTGGCGCTGTGGCTCAAGTGGTAGAGTGCTAGCCTTGAGCTAAAGAGCTGAGGGACAGCGCCCAGGCCCAGAGTTCAGGCCCAACGACTGGACCTCCCCCCCCGCAAAAAAAAAAGTCTGAGAAGTTGACAGAAGCATCCAGGTGCTTTTTTTTTTTGTCGGTCGTGGGGCTTGAACGCTGGGCCTGGGCACTGTCCCTGTGCTCTTCAGCTCAAGGCGAGCACTCTACCTCTTGAGCCACAGCACCACTTCCAGTTTTCTAGTGGTTTATTGGAAATCAGAGTCTCACGGACTTTTCTGCCCGGGCTGGCTTTGAACCATGATCCTCAGATCTCAGCCTCCTGAGTAGATAGGATGACAGGTGTGAACCACCGGTGCCCAGCCCAGGTGCTTCTTCTTGTGCTCCTCCCAGCAAGTTTGCACAAAGAATGCATATGATGACATTTTGCCCCTCGGCTTCTTAGGATCTCCTTTGCTCATGTTTAGTTTTTCCTCTGCAAGGCACAGAGTCGCTCAGTGCCTGTCCGGCTCTCGCTTGTCCCTGTGCTGTCTCTATGGAGCTCATGTACTGCAATGGTCGTGAGAGTGGGAGCCAGTACAAAGATTGTTCTTAATCCTATACAATTAAGTTCCAGGTGTTAGATGCTTTTGGCTTACCCACTGAAAATTAACTGTTTTTGTTTTTGTTTTCCTTCCTTCCCCTTGGCAGCACTGGGGTTTGAACTCAGGGCTTCATGCTCACTCATCAAACAAGCACCCTATATGAACCACTCCTCCAGCCATGGATTTTCCCTTCACCACAGTTTGTAGGTGTTCACCGGCTTCCCTGTCACTCGGAGGCTGCTGGCCTCGCTGTCTTTTTACCTAATGAGATCTTCTGCTTCGGTGAGTATTCAGTTTTGCCTTCTGGGCATCACTGGCACACGCTCCCCACTCAGGCTGCTGGCGGGCAAAGGCTGGGGGACGCTCTGCACAGCCCTTGAGGTATTCTGGAGCCTGCTGGCCAGGCCCCTCCCCAGGGCCCTGTACTTTGATGTTTGCAGACCTTGTCCTGCCCGCCCTGCCAGACCCTGCGTTAGCATGGCCGGCCGCGTCCTGCTGCTCTGGGGGCTCCTGCTCCTCCTCGTCCTCCCCCAGGTGCGGCTGTCAGGTAGGCGTCGCTCTTTGGTCTGTCCCTTGCCCTTTCCAGCACAGTCACGAAGCTTCCTCGGGAGGGTGACCCCAGGGGCCCCGGCAGAGTGGGGTGGCTCAGGGCAAACCAGCAAGGACTCAGGAACAATTTGCTCAAAAACGGCTGGGGACATGGACTCCCTGGCCTCCAGCAGGGGGCCTGTGGCCACAGTCTACCCAGACCCTGGCCCACAGTCTTTCTTGGAAACAGGGTCCTGGCAGAGGCCACTAGCAGGAGACACAAGAAAGGCTGTGGAGGAAGAGGCAGGCCTTGGAACTCTGTGGCTTCAAGCCCAGGGATGTGGAGGCCCTGCAGCTGGCTATGCATACCTGACCCACCCACGGGCTCCAGAACCATGTGTTCTCTGGTCACCATGCCCTTGGAGCACACACCATCCAAGAAGGAATTGAAGCAAACATCACCAATGACAGAATGAAGACCAGTGAGGCCAGCAACAATTTACAATGACAATGAAGTCAGATGGGTGGGTAGGTAGGTAGATAGACAGACAGACAGACAGATAGACAGACAGACAGACAGACAGACAGACAGACAGACAGACAGACAGACAGATAGATAGATAGATAGATAGATGTATCCTTCATTGTGTCATAGGCACAACTTCTCCCAGGTTGGGCTACTTTTAGCCAAAAAAGTTAAGGGATGAGCCAGGCATGGGTGGCTCATGCCTGTCATCCTAACTACTCAGGAGGCTGATATCTGAGGATTGTGGTTCAAAACCAGCTCAGACAGGAAAATCCATAGGCTCTAATCTCCAATTAACCACCAGAAAGCCAGAAGTGGTGCTGTGGCTCAAGTGGTAGAACATTCGCCTTGAGCTGAAAAGCTCGAGGACAGTGCCCAGGCCCACAGTTCAAGCCCAGACAAAAAAAAGCTAAGGGATGGTGAAGAAGTGGAAGAAGGTGCTTCTCCTTCACATATAAAACCATGAAGCTGCATGTGCCAGAAATGGTGTATCACCCACCAGAGTGGTGCTTGGAGCTCCAGCCACCAAATCAGGCAGCAGCATGGAGGGAGGGACAAAGAACGGAACTGGGGGCTGCACCCAGTGTTTTCAAGAAGCCTCTAAAAGCTCTCAGGGGTGACCCCCAGCCCTGCTGTTTGTGTCTCCTGGCCAGCACTTGGGCCTCCACCCCTGCCCCTGCCTTACAGAGGTCTGGAAAATGGTCTTTGCTTTGGGCAGCTGTGAGTCCATCTGGAACTCAGGAGTCTGTAGAAGGGCTGCCCGGGGTCAGTAGAGTGGACCTTGGTGCCACACTTCCATCTCCACCCATGACACCAGATCCCAGGCTCCCTGCCTGTCTGTCATCTAGAATGTTCTCCATGTTTGCCCTGCAGGGCTCCATGTGATCCCAAGGAGGCCACAGTGCCGGGCCCCACTGGCCTGTGGCTGGGGAGGCCAAGCCTGTGTCCAGGCCTGTGGCTGCCGGGGTCAGAATCTATTTATTGCATCTTCTCCTCTCTGACTGAAATGGGCCCAGTTTTCTACTCTCTGCCCTGGCTGTGATTCTTCCCTTTGGTGGGGAGGCGGCTCAGCATTTACACCTGTGGCACAGGTGGACTTTCACACGTGGATACCTGTCTTGCCTCTCCCAGGCCCGCACTACACTGACAGCCATAGCCTCTCCCAGCAGCAGATACGAGGAGAGGGGTGGTACTTGAATTTGAACTTGATTTACACTTGCCAGGAAGGTGCTCTACCACTTAAGCCATTCCCTCAACCCTTTTTGCTTCAGTTGTTTCTTGGGTAGGCTTTTTGCCGGGTCCTGGCCTGATCATGACCCTCTTTTGTACACCCCTAGAATGACAGGCCCACCCAACACACCCACAGGGCCCTGCTTCTCTACTGGTAAAATGTCCGTCTGCAGAGCAGTGTCCCCGTGGCTGAGGTCAGGCACATCACAGGGATGCCTGTGCTGTCCCAGTCCTGTGGAGCCCAGGCAGCAGGGGTGGGGCACGCAGCTAGCTGATGCTCCATCCTCTCCTGCAGTGTTTCTCTCAGCCCCGAGAGCCAGTGCAGTACTCGGGAGATGGAGGCGTGCTGGCTCCTACCTCCTGGAAGAGCTCCTCCAGGGAGACCTGGAAAGGGAGTGCTATGAGGAGATCTGCGTCTATGAGGAGAGCAGGGAAGTGTTTGAGGACGATGTGCTCACAGTACGTACACCTGCCCAGGGCAGAGCACGCTCACCCCTGAGGGCTGGGCCCCTCCCCAGGCACAGCTGAGTTCGGCCCCCAGCCTGGCCTCCGCTCACAACCACACTCATGACCACGCTCACCCCCCCCCAAGCCTGGCCACTGCTCATCACCACACTCGCAACCACGCTCACCCCCCAGCTTGGCCTTGCTCACAACCACGCTCACGACCACGCTTAGTGGCCCTGGCTCAGGTGCCCTTCCAAGGAGCTGCATCCTGGTGCAGGTACTGGGGCTGGTGGGTGCCTGATCCTGCAGTGGAGGAAACGCAGGGAAACTCAGCCCACCCCAGCAGCCAGGGAGGGTCCCCACTCCAGACGAGGCAGATGACCCTGTCCATCTCAGGACCCAGGGACGTGTGACTCCATTGTTCCAAATAACACACACATATACACTCCCTCCCTCCCTTTCTGTCCCCTACTCACCCTTCCCTGCCCCCTCAGCTCTCTCCCACACATGCCCCTCCCTGCCAGTGTCCCGTGTCCTCCTGCGGTTGCAAAGAGAAAGGGTAGTGTACCTTCTCCAGCGTGCTCTGTGCTGCCCTGTGCTCTGGAGGCAGGCCTGGGGAGAGAGCTGTCAGGAGGCGAGGCGGTGGGGCTGTGTTCCTGTATCCCCACAGTGGGGTTCCTGCATCCCCCATACCCCTCCATGAGGTTTCTGTGCCCTCCCTCAGTGGGAGGTGCCAGGCGTATGTGGATAGGTTGGTTTTGTGGAGTTGGCAAATGTAGGTTCCCTATAACTAAGGACCTGCTAACTAGAGAACTGCACGTCCTCCTCTCTACCAGCATGGGTGAACAAACCCAATCTTTCCTTGATGTTCAAGCCCATCCACAAGGTGTGTGCCTGTGCTAGTGACTATTTTTATGTTTCTTGTTCACAGGAGGAATTCTGGAGGCAGTACAGGGGTGAGTGGCTCTCTCCCTTGGGTGTGCTTTTCTCTGTTACCTCCTGGGGTGGGTGAGGCTGGGAGAGCCCTGCTGGGCCCCTGGACCTGGCCTTCCAGGCCTCCAGATCCTGGGAGCCAGCGTTTGGTCCCACACCAGTGATGTGTCAGAGAGCCCTGCGGACTGCCAACAGGTATCAGAGGAAGCCCCATGGTTCCTTCTTGCCGAGAATGTGTCAGGCATGGGAAGGGCAGCTAGTGCTCAAGTGTGGGCTCCCAGAAGGCTCGGACTTGGGAGACCTTTGATCTGACCCAGATGCATGTAGCCTGAGGCCTGCTCAGCAGGCCTTCTTTGGCTGGAATACTGGTACAGAACTAGGGGACTTGGGGCCGGGGTAGGGCTGGGGGAAGGGGGAGCCAGGGACCTTCCTTAAAATGAGTTGGGAAGAGCTGCAGACACCCCATGCATGCAGGCAGGCAGAGCAGCACACCCAAAGGAGGGAGCGGGCTGAGCAGGCAGGTGAGGTGGTGAGGAAGGGAGGCAGCTGAGGACACCAGTTGGGGCAGGAGGCACTGGAGGCCAGCTCTGCATTGACAACAGAGGTGGCACTGCAGGCTCAGAGCTCCTGTCCCCATAGGTGGCTTTCCATGCACCTCCCAGCCCTGCTTCAACAACGGGTCATGCCAGGACCACATCCGCGCCTACACCTGCACCTGCTCCCCTGGCTATGAGGGCAAGAACTGCGAGATGGGTGAGGCTGCCCCGCCCTAGCGGTGCCCGCTGCCTCCCAGGCACCAGGTGGCCCTGGGAGCCTACCTGATACACTAAGGGAAGCCCTCCCGCTATACTCAGCATTTCCCTGGGCATTGGCCGTGTCTGTGGCCAGCCCTCCTGCCCCAGAGAGACCTCACAAATTCTTTGTGGCATGGAGTCCCCCTCTCCCTATCCCCAAATCTACCCATGCCCCATCCACAAGCTGGAGAGCACACAGCTGTGTGTCCTCGTGGGACCAGCGCATGGGAAAGCTAGCCTGCCCAGACCTAGACACACCACCACACTGTTGGAAACACAACCAGGAGGACAAGCGCAAGTGCCACGGTGTCTTCAAGAGGTGCCTAAGTGCATACCGCTGGTGTGAGAGCCCGGCACCCGGACAAGGAGCCAGGCCCACACACAAGGGGATAGCATTCCTGCTTTACCCTTTTCCTTTTCAGCTACAAACGAATGCCACCCCGAGAGGACAGACGCGTGCCAGCACTTCTGCCACCCAGGACAGGTGTCCTACATGTGCAGCTGTGCACGGGGCCACCGGCTGGGCCCAGACCACAAGGCCTGCCTCCCCATGAGTGAGTCCTCACGTGGGCCACCACACCCTCCTCCCCTCACAGCAATGGCTCGAGTGCTGTCCTCCCAGCCAGAGTGACACTGCCCTGTGCCCCAACACCCGCACCGCAGGGGAGCCAAGGGGAGAGGGGCGGGCTTCATGCTGCACACACGCCGATGGCCTCACACACACAGATGGGGCTTACTGTCCTGCACATGGATGTGTGTGTGCCTGTGGACAAGCTGTATGTGCCTGTGGGTAAGCAGTGTGTGCTTGTGGATCACCTATGTGTGCCCATGGGTCACTTGTGTGTGCTTGGGAAACACTGACTTCCTCTTGCCTCCACACATGAAGACCCATGTGCATGTGGGGTTCCGTATCCTGGACATGCCACCCCGGCAGGCGGAAGCTGGCTGAGTCCTCCCAGCTTCCCTTGGCAGGTAAGAAACATGACCTTCTCTTACCTGTCATTCCTGTCTTCTTCACAAAGGCTCTGGCTAAGGGTTGGGTGTAGCACAGCACAGACAGCTTGCCTAGGATGCATAAGCCAGATTCAGTCCCCAGCACTGCAAAGAAGGTAAAAAGAGGTGATGACAAGCCATTCTGATGTGGCGAGCTCCTTACCCATCTGCGCCTCACATCCTGCCTTCCCGATGCTGAGCCTGCAGTCCCGGGGTCTGCAGCATCCGCTTCACTAGGAGCTGGGTGTTTCCAGCTGACAGGCCACCTTCCTAGGAAACCTGAGCATCTGGGCGCCTGCTTATGGGCCAAGCTGTGGCCCCTCTGCCATAGGGGACAGGGAGCCTGCCCCAGGCACAGTCCCTCTCAGCTCTTGGTTTTAAAATTTTTTAAGGAGTTGTACAAATGGGTTCCCATTCAACAAATCAGTTTATGAGTGCAGTGCCTCTTGGTTGAAGTTACCCCCTCCATTTCCCCCACTTCCCTTCCCACTGCCCCTCAACCTGCCCAGTCCCATTGAGCTATGGTTTTGCTCCCTACATTTCTCATTTTGCATTCATTCTATTATTTTTTTTCCTCCTTGGCTGATTCAGGAAGTTAAATGTTCTACTGTTTCATAATGGTTAACACACACACACACACACCTTCTAGAACAGGGTTTGAAATCAGGGCTTTGCACTTGCTTGGCAGGGTTTGAAATCAGGGCTTTGCACTTGCTTGGCTTGCCTGCTTGGCTGGTGCTCTACCACTTGAGTCATGCCTCTTGCTGGTTAACTGGAGATGGAGTCTGGTGGACTCTTCAACCTGGGCTGGCCTCAACCGGCAATCCTCTAGACCTCAGCCTTCTGTGAGCTGCAGCTCCTGACACATATGGTTGCTCTTGACACAAAAGCAGAAAACCTGACAAAGCACACAGGGCTTCCTCTCCTTCCCCTCCCACAAAGTGCCACTGGGGCCAGGAATTCATTGTTTTCCTGCCTCATTTAGAACTCCATGGAATAGGCCTCGCTTTCTGACTTTCTGGAATTTTCCTTCTTGCTTGCCTCTTGAGCTTCTAAGGCAGGACCTTCCCTCTGCTTCAGAGCGGCCTGGTCTGATACCAATGGGACACTCACCACAGAAGCAATTTCAGCTCTCAGTAGCCACATTCACATGAGTAAAAGTGAAGTCAATTTTAACAATCTATCTTAATATAATCCATTGAAATGTTATTTTTGAAATTGTCTATTTACATTTCTTCATACTGAATCTTCAAAAATCTACAGAACGGGGCTGGGAAGGTGGCTCGGTGGTAGAGTGCTTGCCTAGCATTCATGAAGCCCTGGGTTTGATTCTTCAGAACTATATACACAGAAAAAGCTGGAAGTGGTGTTGTGGCTCAAAAAAGCAGAGTGCTAGCCTTGAGCCAAAGAAGCTCAGGGACAGTGTCCAGACCTTGAATTCAAATCCCAGGAATGGAAAAAAATATACAGAACGTGGCTCCAGGGCCATCAGTAAGCGTGGAAGGCCATCCTGAGAGAAGGGCAGTAGGGAATGCGGCTCCAGGGCTTTCAGTAAGTGTGGTAGTACATCCCTTGGGCAGTGTGTATGTATGTGTGACCTGAGTCTGATAAGGCAGTGTGCTGGGCAACATCACTGCAGCGGTGGGGGAGGGCAGGGGAGAGGACAGAGCTGAGCCCTGGGCCTGGCAGAGCTGAAATGCCAACTTAAGAGAAAATTAGTTAGATGGAGCAATAGAAAGGGAAGGACAAAGCTGGACAGCTAGTTGTCAGCTTGATGACCTTGTGTCTCTGCTGTTCCTCTGTAAGCTTCAAAGAACTTTTATTCATGGCCCATTGTCTGCCACTGTCTACCATTGGTGTGCCAGACTGAGCCTGTGATCTCCCGGAGTAAGGTGGGCAGGTGGAGGGGAGCTCTGAGCCTGCAGGGTGGTGGTGCCTACCTGTGCCAACACACATGGCCTACACATTGCCGCCCTCCTCAGCTTGTTTGCACACAGCTGGCACTCTATCACCTTGAGCCATGCCTCCAGTTGGCTTTGTGCTGGTTCCTTGGTGGTGGAGTACTGTGGACTTTTTTGCCCACGCTGGTTTCAAATCAAGATTCTCCAGGTCTCAGCCTCCTGAGTAGCTAGGATTCTAGGCGTGAGCCAGCATGTGCATGGTGCGCTGCATCTCATGACAATTTTGTGTTCAGTGGGACATAGTGAAGCACACACAGGCCAGTGCAGTTTGTCGGCATGTTATGGGCATGCTGTTTCTAGGCCTCCTTGGTAGGACAGGAACCGTGCCCAGGCGGAGGTTGAGCATTCCTGCCAGAGGCAGGGCTGCTGCACGCTCTGCCCAGAGCCCTGTCAGATCTGTGCCCACTAGCAGCACACTGGAGCACTCACTCCCTCCTTTCCAGTCCTCCATGGCTCTTCGTGGCCTTCGGCAGCCCCCATCCACATATACACGCCTGTCATACATACATGCCCATCACACATACTCCCCTGTCCATACACACACACACACCCGTCATAGCCGCTGACACCTGTAGCCCCAGGTCCCATCAGCCTTGGGTTCCATTCTGTGACTCAGCATTGGGGCGCTCCACTACTCCATCTCAAAAAGCCTGTTGGGCTCTGCCCAGGACACCTGTACTGCCATAAGCTGCCTCGAGGCTGGGCAGGTAGCAAGGCACCCACCTGCCCAGAGCCATATGGAGTCCACGTAGTAGCCCAAACACCTGTGCTGACTCAAGGCGACTCCTGAGGTGCCTGGCCATGTCCGTGGTCCCGAAACCAGAGATACATAACATTTGTCTTATCTCCCTCCTCCATGAGGGCATCTGCCAGAACTCTGCCTGGCCCAGAGGGTCAGCACACCAGAGAACATGCCAGTCAGTGCCAGAGGCACTGTGGCATGCACAGTGTACACGCTGTTTTTTTTTGGGGGGGGAGGGATCCGGTCCTGGGGCCTGAACTCTGAGCCTGGGCGCGGTCCCTCAGC